ATCGGAAATCCATTCACAGACAGGAACATAAAAGGAAGCAGCCAGGGTGTAAATAAGTTGCAGCAGGTAGATTCTTAAGGAGATGCAGGTTTAATCTCAGTTTAGGGCTGGGTGACCGAGATCAGAGGGGAGTCTATGGGATATTTGAGTATCAAACACAGGTATACTTCAGACAAAACAATCTGTGGCGGTCGGGAATGGGGCTTTAACCATTATCATTATCTAAAATGAAGAAAACGATGAGTAGTCTAACAAGAATGAAGACAAAAACACAGCAACCGAAACTTAGTGGAGAAAAGGCGGATGGGCAGTTCAAGAATGCCTGACAGTGATTCATAAACAGCGTTCAATATCTGGACCAGATATTATCTGGTGTTGTTAGTCTGTGGAAGCCAAGCTAAAGGGCAGCTGAGGAGCTGCAGAGAATAAGATGAACAGAGAGGAGCCAGCAGGTGCACCTGATAAATAGATTTAGTTCTTTATCAGCAAAAATTATTTTTTTCTGAGCTTTTGAGTAGAATCTTTACAAACACAAACTGAAACCTTTTTCTCTGCTAAACTGTGAGATCAGCAGAACCAGATCTCTCTGCCACACCCAGCTGTGTCATTTAGGAATCTGCACACATTTTATTATTGGACGAAAAAAAAATACAACAAATGTAGGCCTAAAGAAAAGAAAGTGAATATATAAATGCTGTTCTATCTTCTCTCCTGTCCTGTAAATTCATGAGGAGATAAATTAAGCATACTTTTTAAAGTACCTTAATAAATACCTTAGTAATCTTTTGTGAAGCAATTCTATTAGTGCAAGTAATGATTGCTTTTAATCAGTCAAACTTTCATGTAAAATTGTAAAATTGCTGGAACAAAATGTCCTAATATATTAAAGATTTTAGCCTCTTGTGCTGTTTAGTTTTACTTAAAAAATAAATTTGATTTTCACAAAATACTATAAAAAAAAAATAATTTTTCCTCCATAAACACAATAATTGTATCTCAGCATTAGACTGAGAAGGATGTCATTAAACTGGATTTGTTTTTTAATAAGGTAGTTTTAAGGTTTACTATCAATCAAGTAACCAGGTTTCCTGGATCTATCACCATGGTAACTAATGCGTCAGATGAATTAATAATTCAGAGAGCAGCTGATGTGAAGGTGTGGTTTTACAACCAATCATAGCTCTAAGAAGTGAAAACGGCCATATAAGGAGAGATTGTTCTGTCCTGGTTCTAAGTGGGTTCAGTAAAAATCAAAGCCCATTTAGGACAGATGTCTCAAATCTCTGAAGTTTGCTGCACTTTTAAAGATGGGAGACATTTTTTGTTATTTAGATTTAATAAATCATGATCCATGAATTGATAGTTTTCTTCTCATTGTTGTTTTTTTTTTTGCTTATAATAGCACTACTAAAATTAAAAATGTCCCGTGTTATTTTGTATGAAGTAAACTTATAAAACCTTCAGATTGAAGTTTTCTATTTGCCTCCAGCTGCATGAATGCGGTTGGTCATCTTAAGTCGACATTTATCTTATCATGGTCTTGATAAGCATTATTGTCATTTGGAGATTGGGAAAGTGATTTATTATTCATTTCCTGGTCTACAAGAATAAACTTAATTTAATACAGTGAAATTAATTTGACATTTGATGTTTCTTTTTTCCTGTTGCAGATGCTGAGGTGACCTGTGATTTCAGAGAGAGCTGCTTGTTACCCTGCCAGTTCCAGGATGGACCTCAACTAGTTATCCACTGGATCAAAGTGTCAGATGGAAACTCTGTGGTTCATTCCTACTATAGGGACAAAGATCAGTTGGAACACCAGGTGCAGAACTTTAAGAACCGGACAGCACTGTTTAAAGATCAGATCTCCAAGGGAAACGCTTCCCTGCTGCTGACAGGAGTGACGATTGAGGATGAAGGAAGATACAAGTGTTACACCAGCACCGTCAGAGGAAATAAAGAATCATTTGTTAACCTGAAAACAGAAGGTTCTTACTGGAAAACAAAGATTTTTAGCTGATTTTCTTTGGTGCAAATATTTTTTTAAATCCATTTTGTTTGTCTGTAGCTCCCGTCTCTAAAGTTACCATCTATGGGGACCAAAATAAGATCATCTGCAGCTCAGAGGGAATCTACCCTCAACCTGAACTCTCCTGGTCCACCATCCCTCCGTCCAACACCACTCTAAATGTTACAACCACAGTCCATCAGACTGAGGATCAGCTTTACAGCATCCGCAGCTCTCTGGTTTTAGAGGATGATCCTGATGTGACCTACAGCTGCACCGTCAGAACTCAGAGGAACAACATCACGTCCACTTATAGGAAACCAGGTGACCTAAAAGTCTTTGTTTGTTACAATGTCTGATGTTTTGTATGCATTTTTACACTGGAGTGAACTTTATTTTTCTAAAAAATATTGACTGAAAACTAATAAAAAACAATACAGAGCTAATCCTCTGCAACTTTAAACAGGTTAGAATCACAAATGTAAAAAATTGCACTATATTTTACCCTTTCTATTTATAAGTGAAGAGAGTTATAAATAATGCAGAAAAACAAACTTTCTGCCTCTTCCTTTTTCCAGAAACTTCACGTCATGGAAGGGCTTTATCCTGGATGGTGATCGGTGGTCTGATTGCAGCAGCTGTAGTAGTTATAATAGTGATAATCATAATAGTGACAGTCTGTGTTTGGAATAAAAGAAATCAAAAGGTGAAACCAGTTTGTGTTCTATTTTGAATTTGCTGCATTCATTTTGCTTTGGTTGATGTTTGTCATTGATTTTGTTCCCTGTAATGTAGGAAAGCCGAGCAGCCAAGCAGCCTGGGATAATAAGTCAAACGTAAGTACATCCTTATAGGTCTAATTGTACTGTGGATGATTGTATATTTCAACATTGATTTTAATTCTCTCCCAAAGATCTTCTCCAACACCACAGAAAAAAAAACCAGCCAGTTTTTTTCTATTCTAAGACTTGAATAGGAAGGCAAAATTGAATGAGAACTTTGGGTATATACTTCATTGTTCCTTTTAAACTAAACTGTCTTTGGTGGTTTCGTTGCAGGAGGGAGAAGATTCAGTGCTTATTTAATCCTGAAAATAAAAACCAAGACAGGCAACGAAAGCAGGAGAAGAAACAGCTAAAAGAACATCGTGAAGAACCATAATGATGTATGCTGATTAACGTTCTCGGACAATGACGTAAGCAGACACTCATTGCAGAAGAAGTGCAATATGATATCAAACTTTATTTTAAAAAAGCAATGGAGGCAGTAAAAAAATTCCCAGTAATAAATGAGACAAAGTGTCAAATTAAACCTGAGTCCTTTATGTTAGGACAAATCAGGAGTCCAGATTAAGACAGTGGGAGTGCTGGAAATGAATAAGACTTTCATAAACATCAGTAACTTTATTTACCTTTAAGGATTTAGAAGGTAAAAGCTGTTAGATATGTTTTAATTAGGAATATCCTTGTGTCTTATCTTTTACTGTATAAATTATCTATCTATCTATCTATCTATCTATCTATCTATCTATCTATCTATCTATCTATCTATCTATCTATCTATCTATCTATCTATCTA